AAACCTGTCCATGCCTCAAACCTGAAAAGCTTAAAAATTTCATATTATCATTCGATTACACATAAAATAATTAGATCTGTTGTAAATTACTGCCCGAATGTAATTCATTTAGATTTTAAAAGTAGTGTAGGCATAAGTAATAAGACATTAATTAAAATAGCTTCATTATATCCAAATTTAAAACATCTTAATTTATGGGATAATCAAATGATAACTGATGAAGGACTATGTCAAATTGCACAATCATGCAATAAATTGGAATATTTAAATATTTTTTATTGTAAGGTATTACTGACAAATCATTAATAAAAATTACAAAGTCGTGCCATAATTTAAAAGAATTTTATTTTAATGAAGCGTATTGGATTACTGATAGAACTGTAAGTTGTATTTTAAACTCATACTCTAATTTACGATGCTTAGATATATGGGGTAGTAGAGGAAAAATCAAAGATGCTAGTATATTACTACAAATGCACCTTAAATTAGAGTACCTTGATTTTGTCCATGTTATGGCTTTTCAAATGATTCCCTTATTGTAGCTATTATCAGATCTTCTCCAAATTTAAAATATTTTGATATTTCTGGTAACAATATCGGAGATGAGGTTGTTGAAGCAGTAGCTAGTACATGCCATGAATTGGAATATCTTGATCTTGGAGGGTGTGGATTCATTACCGAACCATCGGTATATAATGTTATTCGATCATGTCTCAAACTAAAGCATCTTGAACTTGGATTTTGTAACATTTACAATAAAACCATTAAAGAAATAGCCTGTTCGTATCCTAATTTAAAATATCTTGATTTGGATAGCTATAAAAAAAATATTAGTAGAAAAGTTGTAAAACGACTTAATCCGAGTATATATATTGAAAATTACGATTCATCATATGAATGGTCCAATTCTGAATCGTCTGATACTTCTGATTCTGATCCGATGACAACACACAGAGCGGGGTAAAAATACATCTAATGAACAGAATCTAGAAGAGAATCCTATGAGCTTATATCTGCCTCCACCTAATCCAATCTTTACCAGTATAATTGATAAAAGTGATTTTATTTCTGCATTCAGTAATTATATCAGAATATCATCAGGAACACTGACCCAGAACGGAATAATTTATTTAATAGTATCTTTCGGGAGATTTCATGGCAAGGAGTTTAGGACAAATAATTAATTGTTAACTTTTTTCGGCTAAAGATATATAATACATAATATAAATTGTTATCATGAAAGTAAAGATAGTCAAAGCTAAAGTAGGAATTGTTGGGTTTGAAAACGGCGAGTCTGTCACTAGAAGACCAGAATACTCATGTTTTCTCAATTTTAAGACTTGAATAGAGGTGTAGATACGATTTGGCGAGTATCTGAATATTATGTGTGTTGGTTATCGTTTATTGGATTTTTCCTTATTGAACGAAT